CTGAAGGTGGGATTAAATATGGCAGCTAAGCACGGCGTTCAATGAACTAGGAGTAAATGGGAAGACAAATCAGAACTGCCGTTAGCAAGCAGAGCAGCACACTTAAGTCACCACATGAAAACAGTGGAGGAAAATGGACCTGGCTGGAATAAAGGAACAGAAATCACTGAAGTGTCAGCTCTTTATAGAAAGATGCTTCAGTGTGTGCACTGTCCCAAAGCAGCAGGACAGAAAAATACATGCATGAAGTAGATGAGCATTAAGGGTGTGTGGAGAATTACAATAGGTCAAAAGGTGCATAAAGGAAAACAAGAGTTCTTATTTATGAGAGTTATGAAAAAAAAATGTTTGATAAGAACAGTATTTTACACTAAACACACCACGGAAGCTTTATTCAACATTTGTTAGTATACGTTTCTCTGAAAAATTAACATTGTTATACATAACTATGGAGTGCTACAGCTAAAAGTTTAATTATTTTGTTCTCACACCGTAACTGTCTTATGACATAGAGCCTGAAGTCAGCGCTTTTTGAGCTATGGGCTGGGCTACAAGACTTCTAGAAGTTCCTTCTAGCCTAAGTCTTTCAACAATTCTACATGGACCAAAATAAATCCTGAAATATTTGAATTAAATCTCTACATACTAGATAATATAGCCTAAAATTTACACTGAACTTCATAAGCAACAGTTTATCAGATGTTTTGACAAGACAGCTGAATATTAGCTGATAGAAGAGCAACAGAAGCTACAGAATAGTAGAAAGTCAATAAAAATGTTACATATCAGCAAGGCATATGTTAAGCGGAAATTCCTAAGCCTCTGAAAGTACGAGAGATGACCTGGTCAACCCTACCACATTTTCCAGACTTCACTCAATTTATAGTTCCCTAGGTATATCACTAAATGCCATATCTTATCTAAAAAGATCTTTCATAACAGTTGGCCAATGTTACGAAGTTGGAATTTTCTCTCCCAGAAGCTGACACACTAAAGCCTGAATCTTTAAAAGCCATTCACATGACAGTCTGAGAAGCCATCAGCACACTCAGGCACAATGGCATACTTGTATGCATTGGAATTTTGCACTTAAGCAGCTAGCCTTGACTTGTTTGATTATTTTATCCTCTCACATACCATGCATATTCCAACTTTATTCAAACATGTGACATCAACATAAGGAGGGTACTGATATGTCATACCTGCTTTGCCAATCTGAACTGCAAGTTTTGTGAGTTTGCCTTGAAGAACCGACTTTTCTTTCTTTGGCAAATTTGATCTCTTCTTGTCTTTCTCATCTCCATCCCCACCATCCTCACTCTTCAGTGGTTGCATTTCCATGGCTGCACCATCCTGAGCTTTAGCTAGAAGTTAAGATCAAATAAAGTTTAGCCACTGGGGAGTCCCCAAAATCAATGATGCTTAAAAAGCTTAACACCACTAGGCTCCACTAAACACCAGTACTGTGTAGTCCCTTGTGATGCCATACTACATGTGAATGTTTAAACAAGCATACTGAGTGTAGATGCCCAGGTGCTGGCAGCAGGGGAGCTGCAGCCTGTGGATAGGACCATGGTGAGGCAGACTGTCCTCCTGCAGCCCACGGAGGACCACAGTGGAGCAGATTTCCACACTGCAGCCTATGGAGGACCCCATGCTGCAGCCTGTGAAGGGCCCATGCTGGAGCAAACTCTTGGCAGCAGCTGCAGTCCGTGGGAGATGCATGCTTGTGCAGTCTGTTCCTGAATGACTGCACCCTGTGGGAAGGGCCCACATTGGAGAAGTTCATGAAGGACTGTCTTTTCACCCTATTTTCTGCCTCGTCCTGCTGAGGAGTGGGAGTGAGAGAGCAGCTGGGTGGGCATATGGCAGCCAGCCAAGGTTAACTCACCCCAACAAGACAGCTTGAAAATCATTGGTAAAGGTTACTTTTGTAGTATCTAGCTATGTTGAGACTACCAAGTTCATTTAAGCATTTGTTTTGGGCAGATTCACTTATACCATCTTTAGCATAAGCACTTTGGATTTAAGTATTCAATATGCATATTCATAGGAAAGTATGCATTCATTACATGCACTCTCAGAAAATAAGGACTTGCAAGACAGGATCAGAGAACCTGCATTTACCTTTGTTACGGTTTTCAACAGCTCCATCTTGCTTTTTACCTGTTGGAGAGGGTAACAAGTTGTGTTTTAAATTGGCAATGCAAAGTTCATTTCAGTTTATGTTTATATTTAATGCATCCATTACCACATGATGAAACAAGCAACTGCATTTTTAAAAGTGTAGAACAAACTGGATACAGAGGGCTGACATAACCAAGGCTTTAAAAGTATAGGTCAACTCACAGAAACAGCTGACATCAGTTTTATGGACTTTTTTTCCCCCCATACAAGACTGCTGCAGTGCTACACTATCATAGTTAAGTTTGTACAAATTACTGATCTAGACATTTATTACTTGTGAAGAAAGCTTTTAAAAGGCTTGCCTAAATGTTTTTCTAGGAAAGAAGTTTGTGACATTAAAGTAATTCTGGTGGCCTCAGTCTTACTCCCTGTTCTTCCAACACTTGGCAACTGTATCTGACTACTGCTGCAAATGAACTGTAGGATCTCACTTTCAGAATGAGTGCTTTTGTACAACACTGCAGAAGCTACTGTAGTATAAAATATTTATAAATCCACACGAAAGCTTAATGGAGGTATAGCGCTGGATTACTGGATCTATGCTAACCCTATTTACGCAAGCATGAACATAATCTGTTGGCAAGATACCAATATTATACCACTACAGGAATAGTTCAAATTCATAATAAAATATTGCTCCTACCTCTCTTCAGAAATGGAGTTCAACAAGAGATCATAAAGAAGGACAGTGAAATAATGAAATAAATTTATGAGTGAAACATTAAAGGTAACTAGAAGACTGACACATCATGTGTAGCTTCTTGGGGTGGTGCTAAGGGACACACTATCTTTTTTTTGTTTGGGTTTTCAGGTAAAACGGTTTAGATACTACCTTGGCAAATGACAAACTTTTCTCCTAAGTAAAGAGAGCAAGGGTTATAGTTCCTATTTGCAATAACCTGAAATGAAAGCACAAAATTGACAAACTTACTGAAAAATCCTGGGTTTTATTGTATCACTGGTAATTCATTAAGTCTTTAGCCTTAGGTTACGTAGACTGAAGTGCATGAGAATACTCAGGTAGAAGAAAATAAAATTATCAAGCAGCCTGTCTGGCATGACATTTAATACCTCCACTACATTATTACTGTAGACACAGTCTGATTTCCCTCCGAGCATCCTCAGACCAGCCGGGGGTGGGGGGAGAGCAAGCATGTTCACCTTCTCCAGAAGATGGAAGATGCCACTTCAGACTTAAGAACTCATCATTGTATCCTCATTTAGTACTAATTTAGTATTTGTTCTTTCCTAGTTCCCCTTTACTTCTTACAAGAGCAAAGTTCTACACTTCAGTTATTTCTAACTCCTTGTACATATGTTTCCTTTCACTCTGAACCAAGCCATACACAGCCAACTAAAAATAGCCACTTTAATCTCCTTAACATTCACAGAGAAGCTAATTTAGTTTAACCTGAATTTTACCAAGGAGAATCTTATCAGGCACCTAACTTAAGGGAAAGAGGAAGTTGTCTATCTTGGGAGACAAAAAACCCCCACAAGTGTTCAGGCCCTAGAACACACCAAAACACTACTTGTCAAAAAGATGACTTCTTATAGAATAATAACCACTGTCAGGATATTAATAAAAGCTATAATCTTCTCCATATCTCCTGTGGCAGTCGGTACTGTTGCTTGCTTCCTTCTTCCTCTACAAGGGAAAAAGCAAAGTATAGAAACTGTTCCACACTAATGCCTGGAAGAGCTGCAGGTCAACTTTTACACTTCACTACCAGCTTGAGCTTGAAACTAATTTTGAAATTCCAAATCTTCTTGTAACAATTCTTGTAACTTCTGAAGAAAATTACTACTTTAAGTTTCAAGAAGGGCCAAAAAAGTAATGTATTTGTGGATTAGGACAAGACAAAAAGCACAGTTCAGAGCATACATTTCAACAATTGCCTCTTTAGTTTGAAGGCCACCGAGATTCCTGAGCAAATTTCTGTATGGCTTTCTATTTATGGGTTTCCATTACTGTTTCATATTCCTCTGATGAAAAAGTACATTTTTCTGCCAAGAATCCTCAGACTCAGCCCCATCCAGTAGACCTCACAACAGTTTCAAGAAAAATTTTCGCTGCGGTGAAGCTCAGTCCTGAACATGCCTTGTAAGAACTAGTATCAAAACATTACCGGTTAACATTTCTAAGCTTTGATTCTCAGGATAAAGGCTATGGCTTAGATAAGTGACCTTATAATTCGTGCTACCGAACAAGTCCTTCAGAAAAAGGAAGATAACCCATTTCACACTTCACAGAGGGGCTCCAAAATGCTCTGGGTTACAAGCCACTCATCCCTCCAAAAATAGTTTACAGAAAAATGCTGCTAGGGATTTGCCTTGTGTGTATCTCTGAGCAAAGTTTCAACTCTGGAAGAAAAAGAATGGCAGAAGCAGTTGTCTGCTCATCTTTAACAAAATCAGACTTATATATGCTTAAGATATCCATAAACTCCACAGTATCAACAACACAAACTTTCCCCTTCATGCGTCATAGAACTCCCTATACAGGACATTTTCTATCTGTCAAAAGCAGAACTAGATACTTATTAGGTTGAGTTATTGGTAATAACCTGTTTGCCATAAACAAATACTTGCTATTAAACATGAATGTACTTTGAAGTTACACAAGATGGCAGTTTAACGATTTATACATGGTATAGCTGGTTAGGAGTTGTAAACTTTCCAACCTCAAATTAATTAATGGATTAATTAAATCCACATGACAAGAGTTAGTAGTAGTAGTGTATTCTCAGGTCACTGGACCTGTGGGGTTTTTTTCCTGTGAAACCTACTGAAAGTATGAGGTTTAAAAAAAGATTTCTGGCTCCAGATGACTAGAACATGTTTTTATCCAGTAACAGTCAGGAGTTCACCCCTCCCTCCCTCGGGATTTAAGATTATTACACCTACTTTTCTTGTCTTTCTTCTCTTTTTCCTTCTCCTTCTCCTCTTCATCTCCTCCAGCCCCAAGTAAGGTAAAGATGATTCCAGTCTGAGAGTTCACACCTACAGCAGTAACTACCATTCTCCCAGAGCCTTCCATCACATGTGTACCTGAAAGATTGAATCAGGTTTTCCACTGAGACTTGAGCAGATGACAGAGCACAAAGGAAATGAGTTCTCAAACTTCACGTTGATGAAACTATAAGATGTGTATGTATACCACTGTGTTCCCCTACAGTTTTAATTGCCAAAACTATCTGGAAAAATAAAACCATAAGCAACTAGACAAAATGTTTTCAGTTTTAAGAGTCTACTCACTTGACGGAGTTTTGTGCTAGTTGCACTGGTTTTGGATACTTTTAGGACACAGCCTAGATATGGTCCAGTTTGCCAGATTTTAACCTCAAAAATGTAAATAAACATTTTACCCCCAGAAACAACCCACTTTCTTCAAGAATTGTCAAATGTTACACACCTGACAGCAGCATAGGATCTCTGTCCAGAGATTTCTTAACATGATCAGATTCTCCAGTCAGTGAGCTTTCATCAATTTTGAGGTCATTTCCTTGAATGAGTACACCATCAGCCGGTAAAAGATCACCTACGAGAGATCACTGGGTATGTTGACTGCAGTTCCTTTTTTAAAAATAAAAGAAAGTTCAACTTTAAAAATATGTTTACCATATTTCACTTGAGCAATATCTCCAACAATTATGTCAGCTACTGGTATTTGGATGACTTGGCCACCTCTGATGACTGTGAATTTCTGTTCTTGTTCAATACGGCTCTGCAATCCCCGAAATTGTTTCTCTTTACTCCAGTCATTGAAAGCTGTTACTAATACCACACAAACTACAGATAGGAGGATTGCTGCTCCTTCAATCCAACCTGCTTCAGATTCCTCCTCTTCTTCACCAACATTTACTGATCCACATACTGTAGAAAACAGGTTTTAGATTTAAGAGAGTTCACGCAGATAGTTATTCCAACAACAAAAAGTTTTGCCAAACAGAAGAAACCATTAATAGTTGCTAAACATTTTCTGTGGTAGTCATCTTTGCAGTTTTACATTTATTTTCAGTACGAGTAACACATAAAGAAGCTAAAGAACCTGAAAGCTAGAACAGCTCAAGGAAGTTAAACCACCTAGAATTTACATCCCTGCTTACCTGAACATAAGAGAAGTTGATATAAAAAGTTACCTGTCCTTATTATCTTGTTAAATGATGGCACAAGAATGCCAGACTAGACAATTAGTTAGCTACATTCTGCTTTCTCAACATTTCCCACTTCACCTTTACCTCAACAAGCCAGATATCATTGCAAAAATTCAGTTCAATGAAGGCCAGATCCCTTCATCTTCCATTTAGAAGTATAAATACAGCTTCATTTCTTAAATTAGAAAAGTTACTGGTGTCATATTGCAAATCAAGGAAAATTTAAGGCTTGCTGACTCCCCAAAGAAAGCACATGACTGCAAATTATAAGTTACTTAAATATTTGAAGCAAAGCTAAAAAACCACTTGCACAAAAACATGACTGTATCTAAGACAAGTTCTTGTTTCTGCTGCTTGCACTTTACCTTTGGCATTATCTTGGTCAGAATGATACCAGATCATGATCAGGGAAATCTCATGTTGCCCTTTTAAGGCAAGCTAGAGTTTTAGTAGCATTCTCTCAATAACGAACAAGCTGTTTTTCCACTGACTTACTGTCTCCCATCAGATTCACAGTACGGGCATGTTGGACCAGGAAAGTCAGTAGTATAATACTGATAAAATAAAAGTAGATGCCTACTTTTTAAAAAGTTTACTTACATGATTCATTTCCTCCTGGAGGCTGGTAAAAAGAAAGGCCCAAGGATACTACGGCTGCAATTTCTAATATAATTAGTGTAACGTCCTGTAGTGCTTCCCATACTAACTGAAGAAATGTTTTTGGCTTTTTAGGAGGTATAAAGTTCTTCCCAAAAACTGCTTCTCTCCTTTCTATATCTGCTGGATTTCCACTTAGACCTGTTTAATAATAAGACAAAGTTAGTGACACTTATTTGCATTTCACCCTCACATTAGAAGTGATTGAGGTTTCCCATTCACGGAGTCAAGTCCCACTCCGTATTTCAGTGACAATACTGAAAAGCCATATCTCAGACATAGTTACATAAGTGTTACCCTTAAATCAGAGTCACTACAGAAAACCAGCTATACTTTATATTGGCAAAGCATGAATTATAAAATAAGCTGATGGTCTACCTACTTGCACTTAATACGACATAGCAACAGAATAATAGTAATAAACATGCCTTTGTACAAAATAAACAAGTTCTCGAGACAAGATCATTAACAAAGTTACTACTATCGAGACTGAGTAGCACCATGCAGATTGAGCAAGACCGCAGCTTGCAAAGCCAGATCTGGTTCCCACTGTAGTGATTCTATATTCACAGATAACATCCTAGGATCCTACAATTAATGTAACATTTATAATAAAATATGTAATAATTAATAATATAAAATACTATAAATATTA